AGAGCAAACTTGTGAAAAACTAGGAACCGGAAACACGACAAGCTGGGACTTTCCATCCGCTTTTTACTTCCTGCGCTTCACAGGTGGCTGCTCACAATGTGGGCCGCGGTGCCCTGTCCACCCATCATCCTTGGACATTATGTAATCTCAAAACGATCAAAAATTCACTAACTTGACAGATTTAACGCAAAAAGCTCGTCACTCAGCAAACATCTTAGAACGTTGAGGAAAATTGACGTTGACTGCAGCAAAAGGCTCAGAAGCTGTCTTTCCAACCGCTTTGTCTTGACTTGGTCGGGTGGACCTGGAAGCTTCGTTTGGAGCACATTGAATCCACTGCTTGCCATCCCACGTCCACCTGAGCCAGCCAAGAAGGAACGCAAGCACGACCTCTCACATTGACAATCCGTTCATTCAAGCGACACTGAACCGTGCCACTTGCAGTGGACGGCAACACCACGTGGGACCCTGAGCCACACAGGTCTTTGAAAACCAAAAGGGCAGCAGGCAGTAGCCACAACAATTTCACAAGCATCAGCGGCAGCAATATTAGTTAGATACTTATAGCAAAAAGCCGAGGCTCCGAATTTGGTTGATCCCTGCTGTCCGGACAGTCTGAAACCCATTATCCATGGCGACACTGTGCGGGACGGTGCGGCCGGGTGGGTGTAGTCAAAATCAAACTGCATTCGGGTTACCTTGCGGTTGTCACGTCTTTTTCACTGCCCGTTTGAGCTAGTGACATCGACATCGAAAACAGCTTCAAACATTCAAGAATCCCAAAAAGATTCAAGGCTCAAGCGTCCCAAATTCTCGGGCCAAGGCAGTCTGGTCCCCAGTTCCAAACCTCCGACGCCACTGAAAAGCGACACGCAGGCCACCTTCTTGTTTTCCTGCCAACATAGAACACAAAATACTTACCGAATAAAAACGGCAACCCTTACCCTAACTTCTGACAAATTCAAAACATAGATCCCCGAATCGGTCCGGAAACCCTGCAACGCCATCAAACATGTCTGCCACTGCACGTGGGCTCACGGCTCCCTCAACTTCAGAAGTCCATCCAGTAGGAAGGCCTGCCACCAGCAACACACATACACACATGAACTTGATTGACTTCAACAACGCCTTGAAACCACTCAGCGCACGGGATCGCCAGGAATCTCCCAGGCTTCTGACCACGCTGAGTTATAGCGCGCCCGTATCGCTCACACAAAGATATCTGGTTGGCAAGGTCCTTGATCAGCAAAACCCAACACGTAACACAAGCGTGACTGCGAAGATTTTTCAGAGGCCCCAGCGCCGGCACCTCGGCGGCTGATGTCACTCTTCGTGACGATGCACGTCGCGGAAAAACAACCTGCAGCACGATCTTTGGAGCAACGCGCGTACAATACAAACTTCAAAAGTCTCTAGGCTAGAGTAACGCTGCAAAGGCCAGCGACCGAAAAGGGATTAATCGACTGTTGTGATTGATGCAGCAGGCATGAAAGCTACTAGTCCCACCAACCCAAAAAACATCACAAAGTTGTCTTTGACAAATTGACTGTGAGCCCGACGGATAGTTGACCAGCGCTTCAAAGTCCGCGTGCCTGTGAACCTCTCTGCACCGTTTGGTTTTTTGCCTTGCTTTGCTGTCCCAACCTGCGCGACAGACCAGAAGGTAAAACAAGATTGTCTATATTTAACATCGTAGGCGCGTCTCCAAATATTTGAGGCTGGGGCCAATCTCATGCCAAGGTTTGGCGCAAGAGGTAACTTGACAAAGGCGCGGCTCAGCATGCCACTGTGGGTGACGCATCCATGTCGAGGCAACTGGCCACAAGTTCAAGGAGGGGCGACTGGCACAGTATTGGATTTCTTGATTGATGCACTCCACTCGGGCGGGATGGGCCTTAGGGACATTCTTTCCTGTGGTGTGCCGCACAAACTTCCGAGAACTGCTGGCCTCCCAGCCGGCAATCCGCAAAAAACAAAAGACCAGGACAACCAGAAGCGGGCCTTGGCCCCACGCTTCTTCTTTGCTGCCACTTGACGTCTCGGTTTTTTGGCAACAGTCCTTGCGCGGGCTGGTTTCTTAACAAGTTTTTCGTCGGCAGCCACGACTATCACTCCACAATTCTCTGGTTGATGTTCATCGTCTGACCTCGTTGCAAAATTCGAATGAAAAAAACCGCTTGCAAACTAAGCCTTAAAAGAAAACTCAGAACCGCACAGGTCAGTGACAGGAGGGAGACAAGCCATCACTGCCCCCGCTAGTCGCTGCAACAGCCAACGCATACTTTGAGCTCAGGCCACGTTGATAATTACAAACCACTCAAGCAACAACACAAGCAATGGAAATTGCCGAAAACTTACTCATTGAGATGTGGGCAACGGTCCATCCACCTGGGAAATGAATGTCAAACCATTTTGGCAACTGACAACATTCAATCTCTTCGCGTTGCAGCTGGGACTGCAACTGAAATCTTCTGGGTCAGAACCTGGCGCAGCAGCGCAGTTGGGCAGGACACGGGAAAACACGATGAACGTTTTCCTGAAAACCACGCAAAAAATCGAAACGGCTAGCCTCAAAACACATCTTACATTCACCACTCTGCTGCGGGCTGGACCAATACAATGCAAAGTGATACAATATATAAATTATATAGATGTTGTTTTAATATCCCTTAATATTTAGAATCTTTGACTTGACTTGTTGGCCGAATGGAAAGCTACCAGTCTCGCACGCATTTTTTGGGGACTTCGGAATCCGAAGAAGACTGTGCTATAGCAATGCCTTCGGCTCAAATAGCGCCCAAGGCTCTCTGGCAAGCAGCGGAGGCCAGCTCTGCTTCCTTCCAAGGGAGCCTCTCCCCCAACTTTTCCAAACCGTCTGAGAGAGCATCGACAGCCCGGAAAAGGGCAAGGCGCTGCCACTTCTGGAGTGGTCGGCTGATCAACTCGGTCAAGTAGACCTCCAAGTCATGGGCGCTTGCCTCACTTGCAGCGACCGTGTCATCCTCGCCAGAAGCATCCCAACAGCAGTGTGTAGGGCCGCCGCTCCAAACCATCTGCATGATGCACCAAAGAAGCTCGCCCAATTTCACTTGTAGCGCTGACAAAGCCGTGACTTTCGACCCACACGGATTCAAAGGTGGGAGCACTGCTGCTGAACCCCGATGACCTCGCGAATCGCCTCGCGAAGAAGTTTGCTGACCTGGAGAAGTTGTGTCCTGCTCAATGGCCATGATGGTCCTGATTTGCGTCAAGCAGTCATCAGCAGTGGCTTGCACATGGCCGGCAAACACGGACAAGGGGTCAACGGTTTGGTTATCCCAAAGCGTCCTTACAAGAATGGACGCCATGTATTGAGCCTTCAAGGCTGACATACGTTTTCCGAATGCGCGGCGACCACACACAAAGAACACAGCTGTCCAGAAACCCGCCAGCAGTTCCGGTCCAGCGGCAGTCGCAACCACGAGGCATTCAACCTCATAATTGGACACATCTTTGCCATTCGATTCGACTTTATTTGTCTGAGCTCCTGGCTCACTCGCTGCAAACCGCCGGCATGGCAGTGGCTCCAACACGTCAGAAAGGAAGGCAATGTTTTAAACATCACCGAAACATGACACTAATTAAGCGCAAAAAGCAGGCCTGTGCATCAAGTTGAATCATCAAACTGCACTGCCAAAAAACGAAGGGCCAAGCTTACCCAGCCATCCGAAAAGTCTCAAATATTCTCAAATCTAACGAACGATTGCCATTATCATTGCAACAACATGGCATGACCAAAATCTATTTGCTGGAAGCTTGTCTTCTAAGTCTTTCCTGCATTCTTTTGCGGACAGTTCTCGCTGTACTCAAAGCCTCATTCCAAGGAACCCCCCTGGCCCAAAACTTCGCTGCTGTGTCCAACAAGAGTTTGTTCTCCGCCTTCTTCCTGTAGCGAGCAATGGTGACAGAATTCCCAGGTGGGCGCTGTAGCCTGAGTGGCAAGTAGTTCTCTCAAACATTGCCCACCGCCAAAACCATTAAACCATTAAGTTCAAAATGCTTTGTTTGGGAAGCGCTAAACTGTCGCGGATAGGCAACGCCAAGGGGTTCTGGCGAAGCTCAAAATTCTCTGCAGGCGGTGCCATCATAGAGGGAGGCCCCGCGCGAAAACGGGAGTTTGCCACACACCTTGCCGTGTCAGTGGATTGTCAACGCTGTTTCCAAAAGTCGAACACAACTGCAATACTCAGAAATGATTACGGCTGCAAGAAGAATCGCTTGACAAGCTACCCGCTCACATCCAATAACGGCTCTAGCTGCAAGGTCCCATACACCCAAGACTCAAGGTGATCTGCTGCGTGAGTTAGGCCGTACAATGGGTTTCGCATGGCAGGCGTGTATTTCAGAATCTCTTGCCGCTGATTCTCTGCAATGATCTTTTTGTCGCTGATGACTGCAGGGCGAGGCCGATCATTCAGGGAAAGCCGGCCAAAAGAAAGGAACTGAGTGAACGCTGAACGCAAGCCTGGCCTACCGGCACACCCAACGGCAGAAACTTGGAAGCCCACGTGTCGGGGTAGTACAGTAGGCAGCTGCTGTAACTCCCATCTGACATCCAGCGTTTTGTCCTAAGACCAAGTTGGGCAGCAACTTCAAAGCTAACCCGTGGTAAATAGCAAAAAGGCGTCTGCCCCCAAGACTCCCTATCACAGCTGTAGTTAGATTCCACAGGAGCCAGAACTTTTGAGGCTGAAACCTTATCAATGACAAACCAGCCGAGCAGCTGGAGAATTACATCATTTGGATGTTCCTCCGAAGGGCTCAGGGCAAAGAACTTGTCGGAAATCTCTGAGTTGCTCACACCTGTGTCAGTCAATGTCAGTCTATTGATTTAATCTGAAACTGTCAATGAAAACTTGACAGTGGAAAACGCTCCTGGTCCTACTGGAAAGGCCGAGCAACTACAGTTGCATCTCCGTTGGAATCTAAAAACGTGCGGGGCGCCCTGCCCGCCAATCCCCTTAATGTGCACGGGCACCGCGCCCATAAGAAAACTTTTCCTGAGCCGTCAAAAACAAACACCTACCAAACAGAACACCTCTATATAGCAAAAACACACGCAGTGAACACTCTGTGCAACGAAACTGCCAATCTCGGGTTTGGTCGATCTTGGTCACGTACCGTTTGGAGCAGTTCTCATACGGAAAATCAGACTCTTGCAAGAACTTCCTGATAATATGGATGAAGTCATTGGGTGTTTGCGCCAGCCGAGCATGCCTTGCCATGTACTTTGATAATCGTCCGAAGGTTTGGTCGATGTCCTCATGGCTGTGGCCTGAGCGGAGGCTACTTAAAGTAGCCTCCCTCAGCGTTCCTCAATTTCCCAATCGATGTGGCGTGTGCGGAAACGCTGAAAACCAAAAGGAGGAGGAGCTACCAACAAGGTTCACGGCGCACAATTTCAGCGTGGTTTTTGGTGAGCGAATACTTACGACAAACCTTGCGCAACCATGTCACAGCTAAGCGTCCTTTGCTCACCATGGATGATAAGAACTGCAGCATCGTATTATTTTTGCACTCCCGGGGAGTGTTGTCACACATCACGGTGAGCTCTACATCACTCAGTGATAGGCCATCGCGCGATAGCTTTGTCAATACAAACGCTAGGAACTCCACGTGCGTTGTACTGTCCTTTGGCAAGTCCGGTTCGGTCACAGCGAAGCAAATTGAGCGCCCGTGTGATATGCATCCGATGACATGTGCCCGTGGGCGGCTGAAGGACGCAAAGTCCTTGGACCTGAGGCAGGGTGCCCTCGGGTATCCGAACTTTGATTGGTCCATTCCGTCGATGATAAGAGTTACGCTCGCACCACGCGCCCTGGAAATGCCGCGCCAGGACCAATACTGTAGTCGGTCAAGGTATTGGTGGTGAAGGTGCCTGTGAAATTCTTCTTGCTGTTTCTGTCGTGCATTTAGGTGGTGTCCCAGGTTGCGTATTGCCATCTTGTGCTTCACACACACAGCGCATTCAGGGTGCTGCCTTTGCGCGCGAAATTTCAGGAATGGAAAGTCTGATAGCCAAACCTGGCAGTCAATAATTGCCAAGGCCCCGTAACAGTCAACACACAAAAACTACGCAAGAACACTGTTTCCCAACATAAAATTCAACACCATAGGCGAACAAAGCCACGCGGTAGAAGAGAGTGAACGACGCACACTTGAAGGTCGTTGCTTTGTGCCTCTGCCGATATTGCTCCCAGTAGTCCTTGATCTGGCCAGGTGGAAGCCAGCGTGGTTCGCAGCCCGCCTCTCCTTCCACCGAATCCACCTGTGCAGCGCGACTGGGGTTCAGCTTGATGGATCCTCTCATTTTGCGAGGTTTCTTCCGCTTTGGCTCCCCAGTCACGGCGTTCACTTTCATAACAGTAACAGCGTCTGGGGATTCAAGGAATTCCCCGTAGGGGTCATGTTCTTCCTCCCTATCAACTTCAATCATGGCAGGGACGTCATCATCTGCAGTGTCGTCTCGGAAGTCTGGCAGCGTCTCCGCTACCGAGTGATAGATTTCGCTCAAAAAGGATGCCACTGAAGAGCGGACTTCGCTGTCAGACTCTGAACCAGGCCGTGTGAGATATCTTAAATCAACGGGTGGTGCAACTAAGCCATCTCCGACAGCGGCTCTCAGCTTGTTGAATCGCCGCGAACCTACTTGGAGGGCCAAGCGGCCAAGAGACGCTGGGAAGGATTTACTGCTAGATGGACTTAAGAGGAAGGTTTCTGAAAATAAAACTGTGACGGTCAGCAAGAGGCCAACCTCGCGAAGCTAGGTTTGGTCAAGTGATTTGTTGACCAGAAAGTGGTAACAATGGAAAAGGGTAACTTTGATTTGGTGAAGGTTTCCTTTCCAAAAAACTGCTGTAAGTAAACGAGGGGCCGACCCCGCGGAGCCTTTTCCATGCCTTGAGGCACACCTTTCTGCCCAGCAGCAGCCACTGCCGCGATTGCCCATCACTGTCGTGGTCCTTGATCAAATCAAATGCCTGGCCGGGGTTAGGACAAAAAAGTTGAAACATTTCTGAAAGCATACGTCAGACCTGGGAGCGCAACCGAGCTGCTAATTTGTCTTGGTCTAGCTTGTGCGTCTGGCACCAATCGGTGCGTAGCTGCAAAAGGAGAGAGAACCCGTCCCCATCCCGAAACTGCTCAAAGCACTTGCTCTTGCAGGGGCAAGACTTGCCCAAAGCGGCCCGCAGATCTACTTCACTATCCAATGGGGCCTTCCTCTTTACTCCCCGCGCTCGCGGGGCAGTCTTGGCTTCAGCTGCTACACCGCTGCTGCTATCCGACACATCGTCCACGCGCGGCAGGACATCATCCATTCTCGCGCTACAAGATGCAAACAAAAAACATCAAAAAACATTAATTGCCACATCGTTAACAAATGATACCGCTTGTCAACTCTATGACGAAATATATCTTTGACCAAAATTTGTAAATTACTTGTCTCATTGTGAAAGGCGGAAAGCTGAGCTGTCCCAAGGTTCACGCCGCGCCCTTGCGGAGCCAGAAAACCAGATTCCAGAAAAAAAACGGCCGGCCGATTTTGCAAACTATGATAATAGTTGGGAGGTCCATTCAAGGATTTGACTCTGCAGCTGGGGGTTGCCTTTGGGATAATTTCGACCGAGTGGCGCTCTGCTTCCCTTAGCCTTTCGCGTTTGCTGAGAAATGTCTTAAACCTTCCAAGAGGGTGGGCCGGCAAATTTGAGGTCCATGTCAGGATTATCCTGGAGCAAAAAGCTCCGGCCCGTCTCAGAATTCTGTAACACGAAATCATGTTTGCCGCTTTCCAACGGGTGGCAGTGGGCGGGCAAACTACTGGGCAAAAGGCCCGGCCGCAATTTTCTGGAGCGCGATATTCTTGAATCAAGAATCTGAAGATGTCCGTAACCTTCCAAAAGGGTGGGCGGGTGGGTGGCCAACTCTGAAGATGTGTGTAACCTTCCAAAAGGGTGGGCGGGTGGGTGGCCAACAACAGATGGAGGTCCATATAATAATAGTGACAGTGACAGCAGGTCCGAAAGAACCCCATTCAATCTGAGAACCCCATTCAAGGGAAAATTCTTTTCGTTCAGGTATTGATCTCCTGATGACCGGCCTCCCGCTTTAATGGCTGCTGCTACGTCCTCAATGGTGTTCAGCTGCAGCGGGAAAACCTGTCTTCCTTCGCCTAAACTGGCTCTGGCCATCATCATGACCTGTTCTCTCTTGGTTTTCTGCGCCGCTTTCGAGGATTTTGCTAAGAAGTCACCCCTGAGCTCTTCCTTGGCCTGTCGAAGTCTCTCCTTGCCCTGCAGGATGTCCATGACTGCCTCGAAGGACCCCCTCTTGGGGTCTTTCGACACTTCAAATCCATCTCCTACAGGGTGTCCCTGGCCTTCTATCACCACCGTTCTTGCTCTCATGTCACCACGGCGGCCTCGGTCCTCATCCGCCTGCGTTTAATTAGCTTTGTCATGCACTTCACGGGGTCCCCGACACCATGCCCCAGCAGCCCCATCGTTCTCTTTGTTGCTACGGAAGTCGTACCATGGCCTCGAGTATCTGGTCCTGCACCGCTCTGACCTCCGGCGAACTGTTCATGGATGCCCTTCTTGAGTGCCTCTCCGGAGTGAGACTGACTGGCCTTCTCGTCAAACGCTCCCTCAATGGCGACATTCCCCTTTGACTGGTAGGGGAATCTCCCCGTGGCAAGCACCACTTGCTCAGCGCCCACGCCCAACGCACGATGGAGCACCCAAAGAAGAACCAGCCGGCTACGACGGCAAACTCCCCAAAGGACCACTCTTGTGGTATGAGCGTTGCCCCCAGACCGCAGGAGATCGATGATGATCCATCTCTTGACGCTGCCGTCTTCCTTCTCCTTCACCAAAAGTGCTAGCTTGGAGACCGTTCCATGCTTGTGCACTTCACTGGCCTTGCCCGTCGGGAGGACCACCGCGAAGCCTTCTTCCACCAGCCTGCCCAGTTCTGTTCTTACATGCTCTGGTTCATCTGTGAAGCTCTTGTAGTTCGCCATCCCGAGCTGTTCCGCCAATTCTGGCGCTTCCTCCACCTCCTGTTCCGGGTCGTCTGCCTTCGGGAAGATTCCGCAGCGCGGGATCTCCATGCTCATGCCCAATGGGACTCCCCGCCTAATCCACTCCAGCAGGTGCTTCTCGAGGTCCAACGCCGACCTCAGCCAAGCTTCCCATAGCTCCGGATCCAAAGGGGGAAAAAATACTTGTCCTTCAGCACCACGTCCTGAAAGGTTCGAGTCTGGAAGAACTGCTTGAGCGCCCCTTTCCGCGCCATCTCCACCTCCATGTTTGGCCGATTTCCTTCCGTGCCGTAGTTCTTGGCCACGTCCAGAGCCTCCGTGTAGCTCATGACGAAGCGGTCCCAAATCCTTGAGACATCCATACCCACTTGCCTCA